CTCGTAAATATGCTTAGCTCCACTTTTGACATCCTTTTACACCAAGTGACTGGGCAGCAAAAAGTTGGCGATGCCCTCCTTGACTGCATACTCATGCCCACAGTTCCCACAGACGAGCTTTCCCTCAGACATTTGTGTCTCGAGGAGAAGATGGTGAAGATCCTTGAGAGTGTTCTCGTCGGCCTTAAGCTCAACTGCTGTAGGGGGCTGCTCAGGGAGTTGAGGGAAACCCAGCTGTAACATGAAAATGTCAGAAACTTGTTTCAAACACAAACCACGAGTTTCAGTATCGCCGTGCTCTCGCTAACTCACCTCAGAAGCTGTTGTGCGAAGAGCGTTCCAGTCGAGACGGGGCAGCACGTTGAGGATCATGTCAGGGTTCAACTCAATATCATCTTGAACGAGTTCAGCGTCCTTGGGATGGAGAGGATATGAGTTGTTGGAGGACTTGCAGGCCTTGACGGCGCAAGTGAGGAAGTTGAGACTGAGAACCTTCATTTTTGTTTCGGAAGAGACAATAATAGTAGAAATGTCGAATAGTTGTTCAAGAGATCGCCAGTCGTGAATATGATGTTGTGTAGCACTTACACAACTTTTTTTTCTTCTATGGCGGGGGAGAGGCTTTGGTGGTGAGGTGAGCCCCACGTGACAGGGATGTTGTTACTACTGGTAAAGCTACGATTGCTACATCGGCAAGACGATTTAAAATGCCAATTCATCATAAATTTAGGCTATAATTCTACAATTGAAAGGGACGAGTAGCAGTCGGTAAAGATCAAAACACACATTGGGTCTTGATATGGTCGGTGTTGTATTGTCTCTTATTGAATACTGAGTCTCGAGTCGCTTAGAATCGAGAGCGTTGACGGGCGTGGCGAAGTCCAACAAAGACAAGACCAGCAACAACGGCAAAGAGGCCAGCCTTTTGGAGAGGAGACCAACCAGCAGAAACCTCCTCCGCAGCGAATTCAGATGTGCCGTAAAGGTCTAATTGAGGCGAGGGCTACGCATCAGCAAATCCGGCCTTTTGGAGATTATCAATGAAGGCGAGGCAACGGACAGGTGCAAAACAAGGGTGTTGCCTCTTAGAGCTCAACGTGAATACCTTCAGGGGGGACATCGAGCTCGCCGCTCTTGGCGATCTTGACCGCCTCAACAGGTCGGTCCGCACCGGCAGTCTTGGTGTTTTCGATCTTCTCGATGATGTCGTAGCCCTCGAGGACCTCACCGAAGACGACGTGCTTGCCATCGAGCCACCTGGAGATGGTTGTTAGCATTGCGATTGCAATTGCAATTGGTTCGTTGGAGATGGGTTTCGCTTACGAGGTGACAACGGTGGTGATGAAGAACTGGGAGCCGTTGGTGTCGCGACCGGCGTTGGCCATGGAGAGAAGACCCTTCTTGGTGTGCTTGAGCTTGAAGTTCTCATCCTTGAAGCGGTCACCGTAGACTGAAGATAAATGTTAGCCATTGATCAATTGGGTCAAGATGAAGCTATCGCAACATACTGGACTTGCCACCAGTGCCGTCACCCTTGGTGAAGTCACCGCCCTGGATCATAAAGTTCTTGATGACACGGTGGAAAGCAGAACCCTCATAACCAAAGCCCTTCTCGCCAGTTGCCAGAGCGCGGAAGTTCTCAGCCGTCTCGGGAACAGTCTTGCCGTAGAGGCCCATAACGACACGGCCGAGCTTCTGGTCACCCTGCTCAATATCGAAGAAGACCTTGTGGGTGATCTTGGGACCCTTAGCAGCCTCAGCAGTCTGGGCGAGGAAGAGGAGGCCGAGCCCAAGGACCAGGGCCGACACGAAAAGGCGACGAAGGTTGAACATGATTGTTGTTTCTCTGATGATCAAAGAATACAGAGACAGAGAAAGGGAAAAGGTTGGAGCGGAGGGACGGGAAGGGACACTTATACCGTACAGATAGACCGCTGACCGGGGGGAGGTCCCCGCTGCAATTGGGGGACCTAAACTACCTGCAGATGGCCCCCGCTGCCAGACTAGGAGTGGAGAGCTCACTCTGCGTTCCAGCACGTTTCAGCGGCTAAAGCCACTGGAGAAGGGAGTTCTTTCATTGGTGCCCTGTTGATCTGCGGGCTATCAAGCGACAGAAAAGAGTCGACATATGTAGTGTTTACTTGAGCGGAGTGTTACACTAACCTTTAAGTCAGAAAGCCATTCCCCTGGCGCGGCTCACTTCTCCAGTGGGCCCCGCTCTGCTGGAGCTCCCTGGTGGCCGTCTTGTACCTTTCAGTGTAGTAATTAGCCCGGGTTTAACCGAGTTGTCCATCTTTTTTCCAATTGCACGTCAGGTCGGCTTCTATTTAGAGATTGAGGCATGCGACTGTGATACCCACGATAATCCGTCACCATGGTACGTTTGACCCAATTCCTGTCCTTGGAGTTATTGAAAACTAACATTGCATAGGTCTTCCTCCTAGGCGTCAACTTCGGCGAGCAGAAGCTCGTCAAGGTAAGTCCAACAGCCACTGAACGCTCTCATTCATTCTCACACCAGACCCCCGCTAGAAAGCACTCGAGTCCTTCTACGCTCTTGGGCCCACGACATCTGCACGAATTATGGCGAAATATTCGATTCATAAGCTGGCCAAGGTTGGATCTCTCGCTCCCAGAACCGTCACTTCCATTACGGCCGAATTATCACAAATGACCATCGAAACGGATGCCCGTCGCTTGGTACAAGAGAATATTCGACGACTAAAGGATATGGGATCGTATCGTGGTAGACGTCACGCAATGGGTCTGCCAGTTCGTGGTCAACGAACAAGGACACAGACGGCGACGGCCAACAGACTCAACAGGGTGGAACGACGAGGTTAAACGAATCATTGGGAGAGTGGGTTATCTAGTTTTGGGTATAAATATCGGCAAATACACCCAGAGGAAATGATATGGCATGTCTCAATGCTAGAGGGAGACTATCCCGAGGAGAATAAAGGCAAATCACGCCATCTCCTTGTTGTACAAGACTTGTATATACAATGTACGATCGAATGGAAATGAATTCTAGATCGCCGTCTTTATAAGTGCGGTGCTATCAACTTTATGCAGTTTCCACAGAAGCCTCCTGAGTTTCGAATTTCATCTTGGGCAAATCATCCTCCAGCGGCAGCTGTCCCTTGGCCTGCAACTTAGCAGCAACAATGTCTACATCTTTCCACACACGCAGCAGATTACCTCCAACAACCTTGGCTGCATCAACATTGCTGACACCCTGTCGAAGGAGTTCGGCAATCAGGTCAGGATATTTGGAAACATCTTCAAGACCCTCAGGAACAGATGGAATGCCGTCAAAGTCAGTACCGATACCAACATAATCGTATCCGATGAGGTTGCCGATGTGGATGATGTGCTGAACTGCATGTTTAAGAGTCGAGTTCTGGGGGTAAAACTCAGGAATGCCATTTTCCTTGCCGGTATCAACACAAGAGATGAAGTCAGGGGCAATGTTAACCATAACCAGGGAGTTACGCTTTTTGACGAGTTGCAGAACATTGTCCTTGACATTTCGGGGATGAGGGCAGACGCTCCAGGCGGAACTGTGAGAGAAGATGATGGGGGCTTCAGAGCCAGTCCACTCATCCTTACCGCCTAGTACATCCAACATAGTATCCTCACTGGCAACCTTGGTTAGATATAGATTCGTGGCACTGAATAGACTTAACTTACCTGACATGAGAAAGATCAACAATCATGCCGATTCGGTTCATCTCGCGAACAAGCTTGCGACCCAGAGGACTCACGCCTCCCCATAATGGCTCAGCCTTTCGATCAGGGTCCGACAGGATCGCAGCATCGGCAAATTTGTTATGACAGTTATGAGTCAAAGTAGCGTAGCGCACACCGAGCTCATGGAACCGACGAAGATTAGATATCTTGTTGCCGATTTGATGCAGTCCCTCGATACCAAAGGGTGAGATGAGCTTGCCCTGCTTGAAGGCTTCGAAGGCGTTGGAGCTGTCGACCTTTTCAGAGAAATGACTAGGATAGGCCGCCTGCAGCCTGGTCATGACATCAATCTGGTCCAATGTGAACTGAACGCCTATGATATGCGATTAGAAAACTATATGAATCAACAAATATGAGAACTTACTGGAAGCATAGTTCTCGTCGGAGAAGTCAGAGCCATTTGATGGACAAGGAGCAAAAAGGCTCCAAAATGCACCACCACTCTGACCTTGGTGAAGACGGTGCAAGTCAACCTGTCCAGGAAGCCCACCCTGCTCAAAAGGCTGAGTGAAGTTATCATCATAAATCTGGTTTCCGTATAAGAAACGTAGCACGATTGGAAAGTCAACATGCCCGTCTGAAGTTATTCCGTTAATATATATCTGATTATGGTAAAGGTGCAGGTTGCCATACCTATCAATGGTGTATGGCTCAGAATATGTCGTGCTCGCTCCTCAGGCGTTCGCAACCCATTTCCATAGCGAGGAACGCCGTTGTAACGATTACTGACTGGCCGATGTAACAAACTGAGTCCCAAAAGTGCTAGGAAAATAGCTATAATAGCCTTTCGAGGTGTCAATTTCGGTGTAGAGGGAGGTTCATGATGTGAGCCTGTATGAAGCTGAGATAACAGTCCTCCCTTGACTGATCTATTTGCGCCCCTGGTTCTTGATGAACGAGTGGTGTTGTATGATAGGAGAGGTTCCTGCCGCCCCATTTTTATGATAAAATAAAGCAATGAATCAATGTAAGGAGAGGTTGATGTGAATGAGAAAGAAAAATGACGCTGTAGATATGAGTTTAAGTCGTTGAGTTGGGCAAAGTTAAATGGCACAGGGATGAAGATGTAACACCCTGAACTCACGGGCTGACAAATACGGTATGCTCAGTCTATCTATCAATTGTCCTGGGATTTAATAATCAACAAGAGGGTGGTCATGTTGGATGAAAGACATTTTATTAAATTAATGTATTATTTAATTCAAAAAGAATACTTTCGAGATTTAATAACAAAGATAAAAAAGAATTCCCCGAAACCTGGATCGAACAAGGTAACCTTTTGGTATCAGCATAATTATAGCCAAACGCTCTGCCAATTGAGCTATTCGGGGCTAACTTGATTTAGTCTAGTGGTTTTATAATTCCTAAAAGAGACTAGCGCCAGAAACATCTACCTTGTACCATTTCATTTTGAAAAGCTAACATTTGTAGTCGGCACTCTCATCAACTTCACACATTCGTTCTTTATATCTGCCATTTTATTCATTTCGAAAACTTCTATATCGTAGCTTCCGTCTCCGCAGCTTCAGCACATCCACGCACTGTAATTCCGTGTATCCTTTAGTTACGTGACTGATATTTCGCACATTCAATGCATCCACTATGAGTTGATGGGCCAAGTCAAACGGCACAAGAATGAGATGTAGTGCCCTGAAATCACCAGCTGAACAATAGAATACGCTCAGTCCATCAGTCGTCCTGAGTCGCAAGATGATTGACAAAAGAAAGATCACATTAAGATGGAAGATGCTTGGAGTATTCAGTCTCCAAGTGAAATCATCAAATCTGCAAAACACAATTGTCTGCTTTGAATGAATGAAGCAACATGGCTTAACGCTCGCTGGTACTTCCAGGACTCCACCGTTCCGAGATCTCCGTTAAGGCATTTCCAGACAACATGCATAAAATAGTTTTATGTAAGCGCTGTGCAAGAACTGAAACTTTGCTGCTACGGAGGGCTTCTGAGCGAAAAGCGCAATTCTGCACCCACTTTCCATCCGTTATGAAACCGTAACCAAAACGGAACCACCGTTTTTCAACCGTTGAAGCATGGAGTCATGTTCGTCGAGAGCAACAAAGGCATGAGATACTCAACAGTCGCCGAATCTCTTTACAAACTTATTCTTTCTTTTCCCAATTTTGTAAAAGACGTCTAAATATATACTAGGTTTTATATGCTATTTCCTAAACATTGACTAAAATGATCAAGCTTTATAGTCAATTTTAGGACTTCTGCAAAACTTAGATTATGTCTTTTACAAACTCAACCTATAATATGTTCAGATTATGATGATATACTGAAGATTTTATTTAGTCTATAACTGGACTAAATTTATGCTGCTTTCCCTAAGAGCTCCCTTAATCTGTACAGAGTCAATAGATGCGCCCCGGAAAAGCCAGATTCCGATTCCGGCGGGGTGGTTTTGAGTCATTGTCGACTTTTGGAGGGGCAGCAACGCGCCTAAAAGTGGTTCATCCCTCCTGTGGTAGTATTTCCTGGACAACTCCAACGCAAAATGTCGAGTCAATCAACAGAAGAGAGACTCAGTCTCATCAAGGAAAACCTCGCTGAGGTTCTTAACCCCGAGATCATCGAGTCCATCTTGGCCGAGGGGAGAAACCCCAAAATCTACTGGGGCACCGCTACAACTGGCCGCCCTCACTGCGGCTACTTCGTGCCCGCCGTCAAGATCGCCCAGTACCTTGCTGCCGACTGCGACGTAACTGTCCTTCTCGCCGACATCCATGGCTTCCTCGATAACCTAAAGGCTCCAATTGAGCTCGTTGAGAAGCGCGCCGAGTACTACAAATTCGTCATCACTGCTATGCTCAAGTCCTGCGGAGTCCCTACCGACAAGCTACGATTCGTCTTTGGAAGCTCCTACCAAAAGACCGCCGACTATGTGATGGACCTTTACAAGCTTGCCTCGGTGGTCTCTGAGCACGATGCGAAGAAGGCTGGTGCAGAGGTGGTCAAGCAGACTGGCAATGCGCCCCTCAGTGGTCTCATGTACCCTCTGCTGCAAGTCCTCGATGAGCAGTATCTCGATTGCGATGTTCAATTTGGTGGTGTTGATCAGAGAAAGCTTTTCACAGCTGCCACTGAGTGGTTGCCCAAGCTTGGATACCGCAAGGTACGTTTGTGCCGTCCTTGAACAAAACACTGCTGACTTTTCTAAGCGCGCCCATCTCATGAACCCCATGGTTGCTGGTTTGAACGGAAACAAAATGAGCTCAAGCGACGAGAGTACGTAATTTGCATCTGTCTGATATGAATCATGCTAAAAGATGACTTTCAGACAGCAAGATCGACCTTCTAGATCCACCTGATGTTGTGGCCAAGAAGATTCGCAAGGCAGAGTGTGTTCCTAAGGAGGTTGAGGGCAACGGTGTCTTGGCACTTGTTGAGTATGTCCTGCTACCAGTTTCTGGCCTTAAGGCTAGCTCTCGATCGTTCAAGGTCGAGAGACGTGAAGGCGAACCCCTGGTCTACAGCGATATCAAGAAGGTTCACGAGGATTACCGAAACGATGTGGTATGTTCTAATGATTGACCGCAGAAGATGTTTACTAACATGATGTTTCCAAGTTGACACCCCAAGACCTGAAGGCTGCTGTGACCAAGGGATTCCATAATCTCATGAACCCCATCCAGGCTGAATATGAGGCCTCAAAAGAGTGGCAGGAGGTCACCCTGAAGGCTTACCCCCCACCTGTCAAGAAGGAAAAGAAGGTCAAGAACAGGGGAACAAGATTCCCCGGCGCTAAGGGCGGTGACAACGCCGAGGCCGAAGTGACAAAGAAGGCTGAGGACTTGACTATCAAAGACGTACAGGAAACCGAGGCCAACCCCACTGCATGAAAGAAAACCTGAAAATGGAAGAGATATAAGAACTAGATGTCAAAATATGAAAAAGGACTTTATGATCAACGACTGGACGATACTAGACAAGAATCTAAGACAAACAAAAGCCTCCAAGAACCATACAGAAAAACTAGTATGAAGTGATGTATTGAAACAAATAAAGAATTATAAATTAGTGCCAAAACTCTCTAAAGGAGACAGTGGTTTTTTTTTTCCAGCCAAAAGCTTCCTAAATACCAACCCATATGTAGTGATTATATCTACCTATGCAATTTACTTGCTCAATTTCCTACCTACTCGTCTTGGAAGCAACAAGCATCATAGACGGAGTAGTACCAGCCATCCCTAGCCTCGAATCCAAGGGCAGAAATACCAGCGTTGTAGAGCTCACACTGGTTGCTAGTAGTGATACCGATGGCCTTGCAGTTCTCGGCCTTGTCACACTCCTCCTCACACTGGCTAAGATCATAATCGTAGTAAACTTGGATAAGACTGCTGTCGCCGTTGTTGAATAAACCAGTCTTGCCGCAGGTCAGGTCGGAGCGAGGTGGGCAGGCGGAAGAAGCGGCCGCGGAAGTGGTTGTGTCAGCCTCTGAAGTAGTTGTGGTAGGCTTGGAGTCGGTTGTAGGAGCGGCGGTGGTGGTATCAAGAGTGGTCTTCGGCTTAGAAGTTGTCTCAGGAACTGAAGTTGTGGTGTAAGGAGCAGAGGTTGTGTCCTCCTTCGCAGTTGTAGTGGTTTCGGCAGCAGTTTCAGTGGTCTCAGCTTCAGAAGTGGGATAAACAGACTCAGCCGAAGCAGAGGTTGTCTCAGCAGCAGGGTATCCAGTAGTGGTCTCATCAGTTGTAGCAGGCTTGGACTCGTCCTTGGTGCTGGTGACTTGCACAGCTGTGGTGGAAAGAGAAGTCTCGGCTTCAGACTTGCTCACAGCCTCAGTGTATGCAGCAGAGGTACCTGCAGCAGTTTGAGTCTGTTGAATGGTAGAAACAGGATACTGAATCACAGAGCTTGAAGGAGCATGAGGTCTGCAAGGACCGGCCTGAGCTCTAATGGCAAAACCAGCCACGAGGGCGGTGATGAAAGTGTTAACTGAAGGCATGGTGTATGGAAGAGAAGAGAAGAAATATAATGAATAGTAGAAGAGAAGCGAATTGAAGATTGAATGAGTGATGATGAGTCTTGTTACAGTAAAAGAGTGAACTGCAAGCTCTCTATATAGTTCCAACAAAGGCAACTTACAAACAATGACTTACACCAAAAGGCAAATAACTTGACCCTTTTGGAATACAGGCTCCTTTATAAGGGAACCGCCCAACCCTCAAAATTGAATATCAGGGCCCATTTGGGGACCAATTCAGGTTGGTCGGTCCCTTGGCAAAAGAGATGATGTCCCCATTTGGAGCCTCTGCTAGAAGAAGCACTTACACGAGGGCATGGTCAAAGAAGGAAGTGTGAGTGGGGGACGCAGGTCCCAAGCGCTAAGTAGTGAAGGGAAGTGACCAATTATTGGTTTGGAGGGGGGAGTAGACTCCAGTTAAGGGCGGCTCGTTTAGAGGAAGCATTGTAAGTTTTTGGCCGAGGTTTCCGGAAATAATGGTCCTTGTTGCATTGGCATTGACAAGGGTTTTCTATTATTGACTCTGTTGAGTTAGTGATCAAGCTGAATGTTGAAGATGGGGTTGAAGTTGCTCGGTAAGAAGCGATACACGTGATGTAGATCATCTGAAGATCGTAGATGTACGATTTACCCGTGTCAGGCAATCAAATGCTACGTGACGACAGGGTTCAACCAAGTTGAATGATACCTTAACAAAAATGATGGCTATAAGATTCTTTGGCCTTTGTTGCTCGCAACGTGACAACCGCACCACGTCAACAGACCAGTTCTTAAGTCTTTGAATCGCTCCTTTTTGTTGGCCAGTTTTTGTGATGCCCTGAAAATAGGTCAATCCCTTCCCACCTGGGCACAAGGGAAGAAGAGTCACAGAAGTTCAGAAGGATATTCCGAAACCATATAAAACTTAAATAGATCTGGAATAAGGTGTGCCTGGACGCCTATAAAGTTAAGATAGTGTGTACTGGTATCCCATAGAAGAGAAGATAATTCTTAAAATGTTTCAGGTAGCAAGGTTGCGCGGATCCATTCCGCCCTGGACTGCTTTATGAGCTGGCGGTTAAAGTCCTACACGGTACTACATCCCTACAACTGTCTCTTATTGCCAATGGTTCTTATCTTGGCCCTTGCAACAATCATCAATGAATCTTTGTTCTCACCATACGTGTGATAGTAGACGCAATGGGCCATGCTCAAAGCCAACAACACGTACCTAAACTTACCAACCTGTCTCCGGAAATATTGAGCCAAATCTTTGGCTACTTCTGCTTACACTGTCGCGGTCAACAAGAATATCTGGGTGGTAACATTGAACTACTTGCGCGCAATTACTGCCAAGATCATCAGGCACTGGT